CCATGTAATCCTGCTGCCCAGCACTTCAAGAATTCACAGGACTCTACTTGGTGCCTTAACTAAGTCCAATCACAGCTGTTGGCAGATCACAGTCCCACTGTGGCATGTTCTCCTGGTCCCTTGGACCACACTCCACTCCAGAGCATTGCCGAGCCTGGGCTGGGTGGGCACGGTTATCGCAGATGGTGGGAGCATGGATGTCACACAGCCACCTTAAGGCTGTTGCCTACAGGTTTGTTGCCAATAGCCAGCCCTCCTCATTGCTGCCTCTCTGATGGCATTGGCCAGCATAGGCACCTCATAGCCCTGCAAGAGATAAAACTGGGTCATAAGGAAGGACTTAGGGCACAGCAAATGCAGCTCCCAGCCACCCCAGCCAGCCACCCTCCTGCAGCCCCGAGTGACTGGCATGGGTACCTGCTTGGAGCTGCAGCCCAGACACCGCAAGAGCTGCCACAGGCCTAGAGCAGGAGGCCAAGACTAGAGAGCCCTGGCTGGTCTGAGTGAGAATTGGTCTCTAGATAAAAGCATAAGCCCAGGGTAGACACAGCAGTGAAGCAGCTATTTATTAACGTTTGTGCAGAAACGGGTGTCCTGGCAAGTAGGCACACACAGCAAAGGCAGAACTTTGATTTAGATTTCCTGTCCTATCCACACGTTCCCTCCCTTGTTTCCCCACTGGTTGGGTACTCCAAGGTTTACAGCCTGTCCGACACGTATACTCTACATGCCAACTGTCCTGCTTCTGGTTACACCTCCCCTTACTCGATTTCATATGCCCCTTCCTCTTATTTATTTATCTATCTCCTTTTACGGTTCGATTTCATAACTCTTTGGCAGACATGTGGTACTCCAACTTACTGGTTAACCAGCCTGCACCTGCTTAGTTTCATAGGTGGTACAAAGATAGTATTCTTTTTAACCACAGAGTGTATCTTCCATCCAGACATGGCATTATCTTTAATTACAGAGTGTGTCTTTCTAGGTTATGGTATCTCAAACCCCTTGTTCATTTAGTAACTTAGCCCCAGTCCCAGTACTGAAAAATCTTAATATTGCAAAGCCTTAATATTGATCTTAAAGCTCTAATATTGTAAAGCCTTAGTATTACAAAGCCCCATCCCCAATTATGCAAAAACAACACTGTTTCTCTTAGTCTGCACTTTGCAGAGCCCAGAGCAGAACAGGAGATGAAAGTGGGTCCTGTGCCAGGAGGGCTTTATGCTGTAGGTGCAAGTACCACTTGTGTAGGCTGACTGGGGGGATGCTCCTCTGCTGCTTGCTCCTGCCTCTGAACACAAGCTACCTGTGAAAGCCTGTCCCCAAGGGCCCTTGCAGGGTTAAAAGCCTCTCCTCCGCTTGCAAGCCTTGAGGACACAAAGGCTCTTCCTCATGCAGGTAAGACAACTGGACAGCAGCTGGGCACATTGCTAGTTTTTCCTTCTTTTCAAGCACTGGATGCCGTCCACTGCTCTTGGACATGGAGGTAAGGGAGAGCTGGGAGGGCAGGACTGCTGTTTGTGGTGGGACAGGACCTCACGCATGGTAGGACCCTCACAGCGGTCCCTATAGGCACATTACTTGGAGGCAAACCTAGTAGCATCACACAGGGCTCTTGCATGGGCTGGGCTGTGTCTGCTGATGGTGTCTCAGACAAAGCAATCCAGCCCTTTTCAGGAGAAGTTAATCGTGTAATTGCCAGCTCACTCAGTCCAGCCATCACCTGGAACTGGGGATGGACCATGCCCAAGGTTCAGGACCTTACTTCTCACGGCGATGTGCTCAGGCTATCTGGTCTGCTCACCTGAATGCAAATGGGATGCAGTGGCCCTGTGAGGAAAGCCACATCCTGTAGGAGCGGCTGGCTTCCCTGGGTGGGCATGGAGCACATCTGGCCCACTGAGGAGGAAGGATGACACAATGCCCCAAAACACTGGAGCTGCACAGAAGTGCAGCGTGCTGACATAAGGCACCCTGCTTTAGAGACTGCACCAGAATCGAGCTGGGTCTCCGACTGGTACATCACCACCACACTGGTCAGGGGAACCTTCTCCCAGCGGGAATGACAGAAACCAGCTGCCTTCCCAGCACTGATGGCATCGGTATCCCCCTCTGCCCCCTCTATAGTGTTTCTGGACTGGTCAGCGCTGAGTAGAAGTGTCATTGCACTGGGAAATACTTGGTAAGTGATCAGTTACCATGAGAAACCACCTCAGTAGAAGTGAGAGGAGAGAGAGGAAAGGAGCTGAAGCAAGATGGAGATTCTTTCAAAGCTCATTCCTATGCAGTCCAGGAAGGAAAGGGAGAGTTTCCTACAATGTCTTCCTCTTCCATTGTGTACAGGATGTCTGAGGTTTAAATCTGGCATTTCTTGTCATGTGGCTGGGTCCACTGACTGCTGCATTGCTCCAGACCATGGTGAAAAAGTGGGGTCATTCCTCCACAGGATTCCTATGGCTGTACTGTAGCCAGCCTGGATTTGTCAGCATGGGGAAAGCATCATCTGAAGCTCTCCAGAACTCACTGTCCCTCCTGCAGTGGAACTAACAATTCCCTCCTGCTGCTGCAAACACAATGACCCACAAGTCATGGCTGTGTACCCACAGCAGACCAAGGGCTGGTTGGTAGCATGTGATGGACTCACACACTCTTGCTCACCTGCTCATATTTCCAAGTGTTGAGCCCCAGTTCAGAGCACAAGGTGACAACCCTTACGTGCCCAGCCTCCTACTATTGAATTTACTCTCATTTTTATCACTCTGGTTCCTGAGGTGCACCATTCCTCCTGTGTAGCAGGCAGGTCCCCACCTTCACTGGTGCCAGCTTCACAATAACCTGTCAGCAGACTCCTGCCTCTGGCTTACAGGTCATGAGTAAAAGCATCCAACAAGGTCCTGGACAGACTCTTCCCCTCTCACACCTACACCATGGAGGCACTTGTGCCTTAACAAAGCCATTGCCTGAGCACTGTGGCAGTTCGCACATGCACGTATCTTGAATTGATACAGATCAATGTGTGCATTTTGCTGCTTTGCAGACAGGGACAGATCAAGATGAGACAATTTCTGGGAATGCTGCTGTTGTTTCTCCCAGCGCTTCCCCCTCTCAGGTTTCTGCGCCTGGCTGCCATGCTGGGACAAACAAGTTGGGCTGGTTTTGCACAAAAATGCACACAGCTTTGGCTGGGGGCTGGCTGGAAGCAGTGATGGTCTGCGATTTCCAGCATCTTGGATGAGACAGTTCTTATGCACCTGTCCAGTGGATGCAAAATCAGTAACAAAAATAACCCCAACACTATTAAAGAACATGTTGATCTTGGGCACCATTGGAGAGCTTGGCAGGCAGTGGTTTCTCAGCCTCGTAGCACCCACATCCAGGATGGAGAGACAAATTTGGACATCATGTGTCCAAAGCAGAATTCATCTTTTGACTGAAGGTTTTCCTCTCAATTTTTTTTTTTTTGGTTTAAGTTGTAAAACTGGAGAGTAAAAGAGAAATGAATCAGAATTTGGCTCTTCTACTTAGCAAACACTGACACTGACCACACTGTGCAAGGAGAAGCAAGGAGAGAATACTATTAGAATACGGGGTCCTTAACCAGGAAGAGAAAGACCTGAAAATTATGAATGAGACAGAGCTGACATTTGAGCAATTCCAACAGGAAAAAGGCCCACAACGTTCAACTGCTCGGACAGGTTATTGCAGTAAGTAGCTGTAAGAAAAAAACTCCCAACAGAAGCAGAGAATTCTCCATTGCTCAATGTTTTAAAATCGTGGCTGATACATAGATACATATTATGGACAGAGAAATTAAGATTTGCCATGCAGTCAGTCTGCTCTGGTACTTCCAGCCCTGGTGCTCCCTTACCAACATATCTGCGAGCTTAAGCCTCTCTGGATCCTTTCCCTCACCCAGTCTAGAGCAGCCACTGATTTCAGGCTGGCTGAGTGCAGTGTGTGCCTGTGCCAAGTGCTGCCTGGGACAGGTCTGCACCCAAGGCAAGCTGATTGCAGATGTTTTTTTACCTCTCTCTCAGTCCCACTTCTTTGGCAGCCTCACAGAGGCTGGTCCACCATATTTGCTGTATTTGTACCAGAACACCCGTCCTCCATCTGCTGGGCTTCCTGGCACTGGCATGGGTGGCTGCAGCAGCCCTGGCCACAGGCACTCAAGAAGCACCACCTTCAGCAGCCCTTGTCTGAGCTTTATGAGCAATAACTGCTCCCCCATGCTTCATCCATCATGTGGACATGGTGGTCATAGCTTCACAGAGCAGTAAGCAGAACCCTTGTGTCATAGTGAGAATTGAAATAGAATGATGGAAGAAAGGCCAGTTGAGATCCCCCTGATAACTTAAATTTGCCTGTGGCTTAACAAACACCATGTCTTGAGTCACCCCAGTTGGAACTTGTGCTTTTTAAAATGTTGGTTATCGCAGAGCAAAGCACCCCAAAAAAAAAAAAAAAAAAAAAAAAGAAAAAAAAGGAGCAGGAGACAAGATGAAGAAAAAACATCTTTTAACCAGTGCAGGATGATGCCACATCCCCAACCAGTGGCTTGGGAAAAGCAAGCTTAGTGGCTATGGCATCTAAGGAATGATGTGTCCATGTCTAGGGGGCAGGGAAGTACGTAGTCACCATAAGTGCCATCAGGAGGATAAAAGACATGCTTAGTATACTTATCAAGACCAGGGAGTGGGCTGGCAGGAGAACCCAGGAGGTGTGGGTTCATCTAGATGCACACTGTTCTTGGTTTCTTCTGTGTGATTCTCTTGCAGTCAGGTATCCAACACTGAATGGCAGTTCTCTGGACTCTAAAAACCTAGTGTCTGTGAAACCCGAACACTGGAAGCTTTCAGCTGCTATGGAGATAGGACCAAAGCCATCCTACCAGTGAAACCCTTGCTTTCTGGGTGGTTGTGCTCCAGTCACCCGGCTCACAATCACCACCTCCTCCTCATAGTGCTCATTTCTGCCCAAAGACCGACTCAGCTGGCCCCATGGCAGGTGAGAACCAGACTCAGGTGTCAGAGTTTGTGCTCCTGGGTTTTCCCTATGGCCAGCCCTTCATTTTTTTTCTTTTCCTGGCTATTTACCTGGCCACACTGCTGGGGAACTCTGCAATCCTTGCCCTTGTGTCCCTGGATCCGCATCTCCACAGCCCCATGTACTTCTTCCTCAGTCACCTGTCCTGCTTGGACATTTGCTACTCCTCAGTCACAATGCCCAAGGTGCTGGCAAATGCCCTGCGCCCACAGGCGACCATCTCCTACCGTGGGTGCCTGGCACAGATGTTCCTCCTAATGGGGTGCGCAGGGTCTGAGTGTGCGCTCCTGGCTGTCATGGCCTACGACCGCTACGCAGCCATATGCCAGCCCCTGCGCTACACACAGACCATGAGCCGTGGAGCCTGTGTGGGCGCTGCCGCGGGCTGCTGGCTCTGGGGGCTGCTGGACTCCACTGTGCACACCCTCCTGGCCTCCAGGCTCTCCTTCTGTGGGTCTACCCAGCTCCAGCACATCTTCTGTGACGTCCCCCCGCTGCTGAGGGCTGCGTGCAGCAACACCCGCCCCAATGAAGTGGCACTCCATGCTGCCAGTGTCTTTGTGGGCCTCAGCCCCTTCCTGTTCGTCGTTGTCTCCTACCTCTGGATCCTGGCCACCATCCTCGGGATGCCCACAGCCATCAGCCGCCACAAGGCTTTCTCCACGTGCTCTGCCCACCTGCTTGTGGTCGCCCTGTACTTTGTCACAGCCAACCTGAACTACAACCGGCCCACCTCCAGCTACTCCCCGGCAGCCGACACACTGGTCTCCGCACTGTACTGCATCGTCACCCCCATGCTGAACCCCTTCATCTACAGCTTCCGCAACCAGGAGGTCCAGGGGGCCCTGCGGAAGGCTGTGTGGGGACGGGGCACACTGGGCTCCCCTGGCAGCAATGCATAAGCAACCAGGGCTGCCACAGAGTGCTGGTGCGGCACCAGTGCCTGTCTAGGGGAAATCTTTGATTTCAGGGCTCTCTGCCCAGACCATGGCTGCATGTGGCACTCTACCATCACTTGTCTGACCCTCAGCACATCATTGATGGCAGAATGGCAAAGCTGGGAGCAAGGCTACAGTTCCAGGATTATGTCTGTATATTGTAAGTGTCATGCACTGAGCTCAGCACAGGACATTTTGCAGCTGCATTGCCTCCAGGGAACACTGTAAAAGTTAATTTCATGTGGTACCAGACATGTTCTGGCCCTGAACAAGGCCATGAGCTCTGGCTTGGGGCTGCCCAAGGTGCACAGCCAGGTCCTGCACGGGACAAGGGGCACTGTCTTGGACTGCAAAATGTGGCCTCTACAGAGCCTGTTACACCAACCTCCTTCCACACATGCTTTGGCACTGAGTCTCCTGTCTGCTGGGTTTCTCCAGGCTGTCATGAATGCTCTGTGGCATTTTGCACATTAGCACAACAGCCAGCCATTTAAACAGGCCACCGATTATTCTCCATGCTTTGGTCAAACAGCAAGTTATCAGCATTCAGCCACGTACATTGCTTAAATCCTCACCAGAAATGCTTGCTTCACTTTACAGCCATAACAGAATCAAACTGCAGTTGTGAGTTGTGGCTGGGGGATGACAGTGGCAGAGAGCTGTTTGGTGGGATAGGGCAGCTGTGACACTGACTCAGTTTAACCTCTTCCTGCACAGGCTCTGCAATGGGCCCAAGCTCAAATGACTGCAGGGTGATAGGGCAATCCCACTGCTGGACAAACCTGCAGGCAGCTGCACAAGGTCCAGTGGTGTCCAACACCATGGCAGAAGCCAGGCGCAGGCAGCCACCAGCGCAAGGGTCTGTGGGGAGGGAAGCTGGCACAGGCTGCACAAGCAGATGAGCCCCTGTGTGCCACTGCACCACAGAGGGGCACAACATGCTCACCCATACATAGCTCAGTTACCAAGAAATATCCAGCAAAATCCAGTCTGTTACCAAAGAAACCCACTGGAGAGTCAAAAACCAAGCCCATGAGGCATACAGCTTGCTGGGAACAGTTTGCCAGTTCTCAGTCCACAACACACACTGATTTTATTCTTCAGGGGAAAAAACGTTCCTGCAGCCCATGTGCTGGAACGACGGCTGCTCTCAGCCAAACAGGTTGCAAGCCTTGCAGCCGGCCCTACTTGCTATACACCTGCCTTGATTGTACAAAGTTATTAAAACACCCCTAGTTCAGAGTCTCACTGGGACACATAGAGTCTGCCACAAGCAGACCTATTCTGGTGAGTCCCCTGGAAAGGAACATCAGAAAATACTGGGTGAACTGCATGAGGAAAAAACTGGGAAAGTGATTTCAGAGAAATAAAAACCCAAAACAACCAACCAAAAATCCCCCCAACAACCAGGAAATTTACACTAAAATTGGAAGTTTCTAACCTGAATCAGAGTGTGTCATGATGGAAAGGCACACATTGTGATTTTTCCCAATATCAAACACTACAGTTTCTCACACACTGCGCTCCCCAGTGTGTCCCTGATTTATTCCTATTGTGATGGTACTCGCATACCACAAAAGAACAACTCCTACAGTGGCATGTTGATCATCTAGCCTGGAATTCTAGCCTCACAGTTCAAGGGAGGGCTTCAGTTTGTATTGCATTATTACCAAAAACTGTTTATAAACATTAAAAATTCCCCTCATCCTGCATCCCACCCGCTCAGCCTTTCCCCGCACCCAGGATGAGGGAGGGCTAGAACCAGGGGCCCTTTTCACTGTGCAAGGAACCAAGCCTGCAACAGACACAGGGACATGTGCTGTCAGAGAATAACCAGGATGCAATTTTAATCAGTTTATTACTACAGCTATGAGGGAGAGCACAGGAGTGACAGACACTGCCCAGATGAATTCTGCCCAAATGGGGCAGTTACAAAGTTTATCTACCTTTAAGGTTATGCAACTTATTCTTCTCCAAACTGTGTCAGATAAACAGGATATCGTAAATAACAGCAGCATTCTTCAGATAAGGAGGCGATAGCCAGCACCCTCCAACAAATAACTCACTCCATTGTTAATTAAACTGCAATACTTCTTAACTAATGAGTCCTGCAAAGGCCTGTTGAGGTGTAACTATTTTACTGCCACACTGAGGAGGCCTGACTTCAGCACAGGGACTCACCTAACAGCACGGAGAACAGGCTGACAACTGGATGGAGGAACCTACCTTAAGCACTGACTGCAAAGCACGCTGGAGCCCTTAGGTTAGAAACAAGCTGTGGGGATGGCTCTTTCAGCCCCACCTGCATGTCTATGCTTAGTTATACTGTCAGAGCAGTTAACAGGAAAAATGCACTGTCTTAAAAGTATTCTACTGCCTGTATCAAGCAGCACTTATTCTGATTAATTTGCTACATTGAAAGTATTTCCCTAGCAGAACAGTCCTCTGACAGGCTGCCTGGATGAGGACAGGGACAGTAGTTATTAACAAAGTCTTTGTTAAGTGAAGCCTTTTCGTATTTTTCTCTTGCTCCAAGATCGATTTTTCAGAGTATTTTTTCCCATAAAACAATCTAATTTTTACAGTTCTTTTTTCAAGGTTTACCCCAGAAAATGACAAATCTCTCAACAGCATTCTTGGCACACAGAGGAAAACCAAGTGAGTAATCTCCTACCCTACCAACATCATCCCACATTTTCATTGGGCCAGCACAGGCTTCTCTTGTTTAATGGAATGGTTCACTACAGCCAAGCTTGTGTTTGTGTGCAGGAAAAGGCAGCGGTATTCACTGGGATGGTCAAAAGTTCCCAGGCCCCAGCCCAGAAATTTGCCCAGACAGACCAGGCTCGTGTTGCTTGTGACCAAAGGCAGGTTTCCCCTTCATGGTGCTCTTTTCCTTGACTCCTGGGTAGGATAAAATCCAGGGCCACAGCAACTTAAAAGGTCCCATAGCTTATGTCCCTTCTGACTTGACTAGAGTTGGCGTTTCTTTTCTGTGAATGGCCCTTTTGGAAACAGGAATGGACACAGTTCTGCAAGCTTGCAGGCTGACAATGTGGGACAACCTAGGTATCAAAAAATGTCTTATACTGCACTCACATGCTCTTAAACCATCCCACCTTTCCCATCCGGAAGTGAATGGGAACCAAAGTCCTTTTGGGCACAGGCCGAAACATTCCCTCAGACTCTGCCAGTTTGTCCTTTGTATTTCTCGCATGTAGACATGCCAGGCCAAGCCAAATCAAGCCAATAACATGCAAAAGCCTGAAGCAGAAAGATGCAAAACTTTGTACAGAAGCACCTTGGACAATGCTGGTTTCACTGCAGAAGCCTCACATAATTTGCTGGAAAGAGGCCTACTTTGCCCCGGCACTGCCCCTGCCACCAGCCTTCATCTACCATCTTGATGTGTGTGATTGTGTCATCAGCATCAAAATAAATCTCATCATCTCCATCTGCAAAAATTGTTCAGAAAAGGTAGTCACAATGCAAAAATAACCCAGAAGGAGCTGGATTTACATACCCCCACCCCAAGGAGAAGAATATATAACTAGCATTCTGATTACCCACAGAGTCCATCTCACCCGACCCCCATCAAACAGCACAGACAGAGAAGGAGCAAAACTTCACATATGAAAGGTGAAGCTTCCCTGCCCCCAAGTCAGGTCCCATTCTGCTTTCCAAGTGGAAGAAATTTAAACCACGAAGTCGAAATCACCACTGCTGATGGTGTAAGCCACCATCCCCCTGTCGTACCACCCCAGCCAGCTCCCAGTGCCTCTCCCTACAGCCTGGATGGCAGACCCACCTCCTTGGTAATCATAGAGAGCCACTGCGCAGATCCCAGGGTTCTCCACATCATAAACATTGTCCATTTCTCCTGCAGAAGACAGGATGGGCAGATGAGAAAGAGTCTGGAAGCAGCCATATAGGTCTGGTCAGTGCCACCCTCCACCCAGCTGTCAGCCTTGGGGTGAACCACATCCAACCACATCCCTATCAACAGGGAGAGGTTTACCATGGCTCAAAGCACAGTAGGACTTCCCTCCCCTTCTGCAAGGAAAGAAGTGAGGTCCTGATGCTTCATGTTCCTCTCCCAAGAAAAAGGCTGGACATTAACTCCAACCTCTCCACTTAACCATCTCCACTACCAGTGAAGCTGCAACAGAAACATCAACAGCAGCCCATGCAGTTTGCTTATGTGCCTGGAGGAACACCACCCTGCACTCCTCACATGCAGGAGACACCATCAGATCAGGTCTTATGAGCACCAGCTGTGTGAACAACAGGCAGAATTGAGAGGACACCCCCAGACCTCAGTGCAGCACCAGCATTCACTTGCCAGGGGACAGTGCACCAAAAGCATCAGACCAGGTCAGCTTCTTTAGAGCCTTCTGGTCCTCCTGCCTGAGCACTGCTCCAGCAGAGATATTTGCTGCCTGGCACTGCACCCCATGCAGCAGCATCATGGGCTGCTACCCTGACCACAGGAGACTTCAGGATACAAATTCCCTCTGGAGTCTGTCCCATACACCCAGTGTGGTTAGCAAGCTCCCCAAGACATGGGCTCTTCCATCAGTACTCACCAACATGCAGCTGGCTCTGGCTGGGCTCCTCAGGAAGGATGTCCTCATAGTCCTCACCTCCATCTCCTCCATGGTCATAGATGGCATCCAGCTTCCCCAAGGGGGCTGGCAGCTCCTCATAGTCAGCACCTCCACTGGTACTGTCACAGCAGTCAGAGGGCTCTGGCAGCTCTTCATAGTCTCCACCAGCATCCAGACTTTCACTGTAGATTGGCTGATCTTGGCTGAGGTTCTTGCACAGCTCTTCACCCAGATCTGCTGGCCTTGGTGGCAAAGTGGGTGGTGTTTCCTCATCCTTCCTTTTTGTCTCCTGCCATGAAGTGAGAGAGTGACAGGGAGGTCATCTACAAAGCACTCACTGCAGGAAGCTCTCCCATGACTGCACAGCACCCAACACAAGGGAGCCTGCTCCACTGCAGGTGCTTTTAGTGCTACCATAACACAAATGGAGCACCATCTTCTGGACAATTAGGTCTGTGCCGAACTGGCACATGTGATTGCTGTGAAGACCCTCATGGCCCATGTATTTGAACCTCTCTTGCATATTTAGCTACGGCTCACGGCACTGCCACTGCACTGACCCAAGAGCTTCCCTCACAGTGTAAGGTGCTGTGCAGCCATGTCCCATCATCATCCCAGCATTTTCCCCCTCACTCCTTCCAAAGCCTCTCCCACAATGCATCTGTACCCAATTTCTTCCTGCAGGGCTGCCCATAAAGTACAGCCCCTCTGAGGTGCAAGCCCCTCTGCCTGCTCCCCTTCCTGCCCTCACTCGCCCGCCTTGGCACCTCTTCTTGTGACACAGGTCTGTCTTGGTCAGCACTCCTGGGCACCCTTGCTGGCACGATGGCAGGGGCTGCCTCTGCGTGGTCCTTCTCTCTTTGTGGGATTTCCTGCTGGAGAAAAGTCGTAAGATCTCCTCAATCCCTTTGAATGAGGTCCAGAGCAATGTCCATTCCCAACAGAGCAATTCAGAAAATTCTCCTTCAGCTGAAATCTGTTCCAGCTCACATAAAGCTGCCCTGGGGACTGGACACCAGCAGGCCTGTAACCACCACAGGGTCCGCAGAAAGTATCCTCAAGGAGGGAATGTATCAGGGAGTGCTTTACTGGTGAAACCTTATCTGCACACTGAATGCAGAAATAGCACAGTGTAGAAGGAGGTCTTGTAAACATGAAGGTTTGGGTGCAATCTCCAGTTTGTAAAACTCTGAATGCAGACTGCTGGGATGGTGATACAGGAGCCTGTGCCAAAGCACAGGAGGTCATGTCTGGGTGCAGACACATTCTGATCTATGCCAAAAGGAGAAATCCAGTGACAGTTGTGAAGCTCAGCGGCAGTTCCTGGCAGTTGCAGGGAAGCAATTTAGGTAAGAGGTTACCATAAAGAGATCAGGTAAAAAGGACATGGAGATGCATGGCCCTGAAGAGAAGCCTGTTTTGCAAGCCTTGAAGGAAGGTTGTGTAGAGACCTCATAGCAACCTTCCAGTATCTGAAGGGGACTACAAGGATGCTGGAGAGGGACTCTTCGTCAGGGACTGTAGTGATAGGACAAGCGGTGATGGGTTCAAACTTAAATAGGGAAGTTCAGGTTAGATATAAGGAAGCTCTTCCTGTGAGGGTGCTGAGGCGCTGGCACAGGGTGCCCAGAGAAGCTGTGGCTGTCCCATCCCCGGCAGTGTTCCAGGCGAGGTTGGACGAGCCTTGTGTGTCATGGTCTAGTGTCCCTAGACATGAGGTGTCCCTGCCCATGCCAGGGGGTTGGAACTGCACGGTCCCTTCCAACCCAAACCATTCTATAATTCTATGATTCTATGGCATGTCAAGATGTCCATGGCTCACCTTCCACCGAGCTGCCAGGCACTCCCAAGCTTGCCGCCTCACCCAGTCCCCCTCTGCCTGCCTTCTCTCATCCTCTGCTGTCATAGCCATGTTTTCAAATCGTGACTGCAAGCTGCTGGTGCCACTAGGAGCTCCTGTGGAGAAGGCAGATGATGAAGCCTGCCCAGTGACTCTCTTCTACACCCCAAGCATCCAGGAGAAACTTGGACCTCTGCTCCCCCAGAGGAACTTGCAATTCAGCCACCCTCTCCTGCTCCTTAACCCAGCTCAAATCCACATCCCACCACAGTATGTGCCTGTAAAACCCATCCACAGCTTCCCACCAAGCCCAGGGCTGGTACTCAGTTGTCTCACCTCCTTCCAGTGGTCTTGTTTTCTCATAGCCGGAGGTGGGAGCAGCCATCTCACCGAAGCCAGCAGCACTCTGCAAAGAGGAAGTGTCCAGCGGGTTAGGCAGGGCCAGTGCTCAGTTTCCCTGCTGGATTTGGCTACTGGTGGCTGCAGGCTTTGTTCCCAGCCATGTCTGTCTTCATCTGTACAATTACCATGGCCCTGAGAAGGCTGCTGGCTGTATCCTGCTCTGCTCTGGAACTGCCTGCTGCCCTCCAGCCAAAGCCAAGGGCTGCTCCTGTTGCAAGGGGGACACTCAGGAGGGCTGAAAAGGCTGCGTGGAGCCAAATGGAAGAGGCTGCACACTGGAAAGACAAGTGCTGCTTGGTATAGCAAGGCTGGGCATTCAAGGCAGAAGTGCTCACTGGGAACATCGCAAAGAGCTGAGCAGATGCCTAGTAGTCTACCACTTCCTGAGGTCCAGGGCCCTGATGTCCCTGTCCCCTGCACTCCCAGTGGTATGAGGCATGGAAGCACTTCCTTATTGGATGCAGAGCTGCAGCTGCCTAACCACGAAAAACGTGTCTCTTCAGCAGGTCACTGCCTGCAGTATGTGCATTACAGAAGCACAGGCTGGAAAACATCCAAGTGAAAACCTGTGTGAACACCTGAGATACCGCTGGCTTCATGAGATGCAAAGAGATGCCTAAACTAGTAATAGCATCGATGGGGTGCTTGCAGCAAAAGGAAAGTGCGATAAAGTGGGTTAATCTACTCTAATGAGAAAACTATTTAATACAAAAAGGAAAGTGCAGGTAGGATCCATCTTTCAGACTAATACAGCTATACTCAGCTACACTCAGGGTTCTACCTGCAGGTGTCACCAACGGGCTGGTTGGCAAGTTTCTGCCAACCCCATCCCTGCTTTTGCAAAGGTTTGCAGGCACGTGGCTAGACCCTGGTCTGAGATTTAGATAGCTGCACAGACCATAAGAAACTCCTGGATAGGACAGAAAAGCCTGCAGAAGGTAACAACAGAGAAACTGATGAGTTACAGACAACACCACGAGGAATAGCCAGATTTCAGCAGTAGTTAAGGAGGGGTGATACGGGGCTAGTCACTCACACACAAAGCTGCACTAGCCGGTGAGTACTACAAGAGGATAAGGAGCCAGACACTGGAGAGGCCATGGATCTGTGTAGGATTCAGAAGAGAGTGGGGAAGTATGCACGTTGAGGGACCAAAGATTCAAGCCAGCTTCTGGGAAGCCTTGTTTTTGTCTGGATGTGACAGCTGCTAACAAACCCTAAACCTTACAGCTAGAGGAAGGTCAGCCTCAGCGGTACCACCTCACTGGAGGTAATCCAAGGCAAGAACCACTCTGTATGCATACTGCTCCCTGCACGATCATCACCTGCCAGTCAGTGCTGGGGACACAAGATGGGCCTTCAGTCTGATCCAGCACCTCTCCTGTGTAAGAGACAGTTCCTGCCCGGTGCAATAGCCTGTGGCCTCTCAGACTTCTCACAAGGCTGCACTCACAAAATTTCATCTCCAAGGAGCTAACCTCAGCTCATCCTGACTGAATTGGTACCCACAAGGCCTGCAGGAGTGACAGCAAAGCAGCCAGATAGAACACTCCCAGCATCTCACACAGTACTAGATATCCAAGAGGACACAGCTTAGAAAGCTCTTCATGGCTCTGCTATTAAATCCTGCCCCAAAGCAAGTCTATGACTCTTCAGTCTGAGAGTTTAATGCTTCAAGAGCAGCTGACAATGGAAAAAAATTCCTTCTTTGCATTATAGTCTCCTCAGGCTGCATGTGGTATCCATCTTCCTTTGCACTCTGGTATTCACACCAGGCCAGGTCCCTCATCCCTGCAGCAGCTGTGCTCTAAGCACTGAGACCTCATCGCATCTGGGAAGTCTCTGCTCTTGCAGCAGTGCAATGAGCACTGACTAGCAGAAAGCAATTGCAGGCTGCAGTATGCAGTCTTACCTTATCTACTCTGTCCTTCTGGACACCGTAACAACCTCCAAACCCCTTGGCACAGTCTGTATGGAAAAATAATGAGGTATTTTATAGTATTTTATATTTTAAGTGCACCTCTCACTTCAGTATGCTGTGACCAGTGATACGTGTTAGCTTTGTCTGCATCTTATATATGGAACTAAACAGAGATAATACATGCAAAATGCTCTGCACAGTAGCTTGTAAGACTAATTCTTCATTTCCTTCAGCAAAGTGCAGAGACTTTCAGTGCTGTACACTTGTAGATCTGCTTTCAAGGCACGCGGGTGAGAAGCCAGTCATGCCACTTGAGTGCAGTGTGGCCTTGTTCACTGAAGTTAAGCACACAGTCAAGCCTTTCCTGGAACTTGTTCTTCCTTGTTCCCATGTGCCCACCTGTTCAATGAGCTTATGATCAGGAATGTACCTCCCAGAGAAAGCACAATATAGCCTGGGAAGCCTCATTCAGCGACTTGCACTGATCCAAGCATGCACCTACTCTGGCTGAGTTTACCCTTGTGCTTTGGGGATTCACAGTATACTGTACACATTCAGTTTCCAGCAGGTGGATCACTGCCAAGTATGTAGCACTAACTCTAGGTCTGTGTGTGCTCCAAAGAAATCGTGCCACTACCTCTGACAGCATTGTCCTACCTGTTTGGGATGCATGGAGCTGCACTTCCTCCCGATGGTCCCAGCCAAGGGCACTCTTGTCCTGACGATCCCTCTGGACCCCGAACTTCCCACCAAAGCCCACCGAATAGTCTTCAGCCACAGAGATCCAGATCATGGCATGGAAGAACAGACAAGGGAGAGAAAGAAAAAAGTGGCAGCACTGTGAGTTGAGGCTGTTCTCACAGGGGCAACAGTTTTCCCTTGCTAGGATTTAGAGAAAGACATGGAGCAAGGTCAGACTTCCCTACTGGTGGCTGCAGCAACAGCCTTCTCACCTCCCTGGGACGTCATCTGCTATGAGCCCCTGGGCCTCCCCCGCACTCTTCCTTTGGTGACATACTGCCCAGGAGATCCCTGTGCCCAAAGAAACCTGCTGCTCTTCTTCATTTAGTTGGAATTTTTCCCAGCAGCCATGCCTGCATCATGGCTTTCCTCACCTGACCAAGCCTTTACCCCCCTCATGCAGCAGGTTGCAAACACCCAGCGCAGCCCCAGCGGCCCAGTCCCGAGCTCAAGTACTGATACTGCCTGATGCACTGGACTCCCCCAGCTCACCTTTCTGAGAGTCGTGCTTCTCTGCCTGGCTCTTGTAGTCGAATCCCATCGCCGCTTTGTCCACCTTATCCCTCTCCAAACCATAACGGCCACCAAAACCCTTGGAGTAATCTGAGGTGGTGCATGGAGTGAAATGCTGCCCTGAGCAGTGGGCTAATGAAGGGCAAGGGGAAAGTTGGGGAGCAGCACTGGGGAGGAGCACCAGGGAGGAGGAAGAACAGCAGGGATGATTGAAAATATTACAAAAAGCAAGGAGTTTGGAGGGGACAGAGTGGATGGCAGGGAGCACCATGAGGGCCATTGAGGATGAGGGCCCATGAGAATGGGTGCCCAGGGCAATTGTGTGTGATGGCAACAAGAGAGCCTGAGGGCTGTGGGCAGCAGGAGATACAGCAGGCTGACAGGGTAAGAAAGAAAAGCAACATGGCACAGGCAATTGGGGAGGCAGTAGGAGCTCAGCCACTCAAGGACGCAAAGCCAAGACAAGATTTGGGCACTGACAGCCTGGGCATCCACCCACAAATGCATCACCAGAGTGAAGATTTCAGCCTGTGGTCTGCCAGTCTCTGAAAAGGTCTGTGCGTAAGTATATTGAGCCCTTGAAAGCACAAAAGATGGCAAAGTTTTGTTGTACGGCTTACATTTGCTATAATGGAATCTCAGCTTCTACAGGGAAACCACTGACTGACTGGATGCTGCAGCAAAGGCTGAAACCCACATTTCTGCACACATGCTCTAGGTCTCCCCCCAGACTGTTCCTGACACACTCGACCACTATGGGACAGAGGCACAGCACATCTTCCTTACACATCCCCTTTCCCATCTGCTAAACTAGTAATGTATTAACTACTTCAGCTGTGTTCAGTTACTCTCTGAGGACTACTTATCATTGGTTGATGTCCTAAGAAATTTCAGCCCCTATCCTAGCTGCTGGCTGCATAAAGACACCTTTCTTTCAGAGGACTGGTCTGCCAGCTCTGTTTCCAAATCCTACCCTTCTGAAGAAGTAAATCACCATTACCTTTCTGTTCCCTGACTCTATTCTTACAGGTCTGCATTTCACAGGAGTGAGTTGGGGCTTCTCCAGCAAATTCAGCCTTATGAATTCATGAAGACAGTGATCTAGAGAAATAGGCATGAACACACTTTGTATTCAAGAATGGCTGTTTCATGGCAGCTCAGTCACTTAAGGATGAGTCTGTAAGTAACAGAAATTTCTTAAACTTTCCTCAATAAAACTATTATTTACCCATTAGGCCACTAGAAAATGGACTTTTTAGGATGCTGCTTTCAGCAAATACAGATTTTATGACTGTTACCTTGATGCTGGAATTTCCAGCATGGATGCATTTTTATGAAAAACAATCCAAACACCTTCCCCTATTTCTAACATTTTAATTTCATCCTGAGCGGTTTCTGTGGTTTTATACAGTCTGATGAATTTGTGTGTCCACAATCTAGTATGTGGGAATGCATTAATGTAGCACAACTGCATGTAATTTGTTAATTTAAGATCAACCAAGAATGCCTCAGAACATCCTCCTTCTTCTATAGTTTTCTCTGAAACAAACAGTTCTTTTCTTGGTAATGCGCTATTCCTCATGTGTATCTGAAAAGGGAACAGACCTTGCCTCTAATCTTGTCTTGGTTGCAGAATGTTTAAAACATCTTTAGCTTCAGCTGTCACAATGAAAATTCTTAATGAATTGACCTGGTTTAAGCCTAGCCGGTAACTCAGAACCACGCAGATGCTCGCTCACTCCTCCCCCATTTTTCTTCCCCCGCTCCCGGAGGTATGGGGAGGAGAACCGAAAGAATATAACTCCCATGGGTTAAGTTAAGAGCAGTCCAGTAACTAAGGTATAATACAAACCACTACTGCTACCACCAATAATAACAATGATAAGGGAAATAACGGGAGAGAATATATAACTAAAAGGGGAAAAGGAAAAGAAAACGATAAACATAAGTGATGCCCAATACAATTGCTCACCACCTGCTTACCGATGCCCAGCCCGAGCCAAGCAGAGATCTGGGCCTTCGGGGTAACTCCCCCCAGTTTCTATACTGGACATGATGTGCTGTGGGATGGAATAGCCCTTTGGCCAGTTCAGGTCAGGTTTGGGTCCTGTCTCTGCTTCCTCCCGGCTTCCCGTGCCTCTCCTCACTGGCAGAGCATGAGGCTGAAAAGTCCTTGACTGGGGTAAGCGTTACTTAGCAACAACTAGAAACAGTGGTGTGTTATCAGCATTGTTCTCAGACTAAAGCCAAAAACACAGCACTGCACCAGCTACTAAAAAGGCGAAAAATAACTGTTACAGCTGAACTGAGGACATGAATATAGCTGCTTGTATGGACCCGTGAAAGTTGGCTGAATCATCTCCAGAACTGTGCACAAGTCTGGGTGCTGTGTAGGCTTTTGTTCACATATCTATTGTTGTGCCTTTTCTAACACGCCACTTTTTCAGAAATCACTTCTCATGTCCTAAAGTGTTTGCCTCTGGAGCAGCTGCTCAGAAGGACTTTTAGATGAAAGGAAGCATCATCCGTCCACTGGGAGTGCATGTGGGGGTGTCTTCCCTGCTCAGTTACGACGTGGTTTCTGTCAAAGCAAAACTAGAGACAAGTAGAATGTACAACATAAAAGTGGTGACAGGACAGCAGGGAATGAGGCTGTAAGGGTTTCTGACTGGGAACAGGCATCTGAAACAAGTGACAGGAGCAGGGTAACAAAGGAGACTGTGCCACAGCAGACAGCACAGGATATTGGGAGCATATGAGAAGCTGGGAAGTGTCAAGGGGCAGCATGTGCCCATGGACTTGCCTTTCTGGGACGAGTGTTTCTCCACCTCACCTTTGTATTCAAAGCCCAGTGCTGACTGGAACAAGAAGGGGAAGAATGTCAGTGGTCCTGAGGGCCAAGCTGGGTCCACCACCCTCCCCCAGCGGCTAGGCTGGGACCT